TTTCCCCCCCCCCCCCCCCCCAACAATCCCCTCCCTCCCGTAAGGGCAAGTCCCTTTTTATACAGCTCTGGTCTTGCTCTCTGGCCCCATCCCCTCCTGGCCTCATGGCAAACAGGCAGCCAGGGCCTGCTGGGACCTGGGGGCTCCCTCCCTCCCTCCTGCTGGCTCTTCCTTAATGAGCAAAGTGTGGGAAGACCAGCTCCCCCAGCCCTGATTGGTTGCTGCTCTCGGCCTCCCCCCCAGTGGCTGGGAAGCTGCTGCCGTGGCGGCGCTGAGGGGCTCCCCTGGAGCTGTTTCTCCAGGGGAATCCCTGGGAGGGGGCTTGGGGCTAGGAGCGGTGTCCCGGGGAAGGAGCAAGCCTGGCGGCTGGCACATGGACCCTGCAATGAATCTGCAGCCAGTGCCCAGGGAGGCAGGCCCAGCCCTTGGGGATCCTGGGGAGAGATGGGGCAAACCCAGCGCCAGTGCTCCCAGCTGGGGGTGGGTTATGCTAATTCCTGCAGTGACTGCTGGAGGCACACAGGAGGGTACATGGGGCAGGGGGTCTCAGACTGGGACTACACTGGCCCCCAAGAACCAGGGCTCCGCGACAGCTCCAGCAGACCCTGGCATCAGCCATGCAGGGGCACAGCAGGCTCTGGAGCAGTGGCTCCTGGGCTGTCAGGGGCCCTGGGGTGGGCGGGGAAGAGGGTCCCAGCCCAGCTGAGGGGCCAGGTGCCATCTACTCACAGCCCTTTCCTCCCCCCTTTCGCAGCAGTATCAGCATCCTGGTCGGCGCTCCCAAGGCCAACACGAGCCAGCCCAACGTCACGCAGGGTGGGGCCGTCTACTACTGCCCCTGGCACCGGGGCAACACCAGCTGCACCCCCATTGAATTTGACCAGACAGGTAAAGGGCGAACCTACCTCGGCGTGGGAGGAGGGGCCAGCGGGAGGGGGGTTACCTGTCCTGGCTCACAGCTCCTCCCCTTAGGCAGGCTCTTGTAAAACAGAACTGATGGGCATCAGCAGAGCTGGGTGTGGGGGAGCCCAGGGCTGGGATTGGGATTGAGGGGCACTGGTAGAGCTGGAAGAGGGGGAGCTCTGGGCTGGGATAGCAGGGCCTGTGAGTTCGGATTGAGGGGCACTGGCAGGGCTGGAGGGCAGGGCTGGGGCTGCGGGTTGGGATTAAGGGCACTGACAGAGGCAGAGACAGAGCCAAGGGCTGGGACAGTGGGGTCTGTGGGTCGGGACTGAGGACCACTGGCAGAGCTGACAGAGGGGGAGCCCAGGGCTGGGACAGCAGGGGGTGTGGGTTGGGATCAGTGTTCCCTCTAATTGTTTCCATCCACGTGTGGAATAAATGTTTATGTGCACCAAGGCATGCACGAGTGTGCACCACCAGTAGAAACACAGAACCTAGCTTGGGCGCTCTGCTAATCGGCTGGGCAGCACTGGAATCTCTCCTGAGCGGCTGCTCAAGCGCCCAGCTTACAGGGAACACTAGTCAGGATCGAGGGGCACCGGCAGAGCTGGGGGACAGAGCCAAGGGCTGGGACAGTGGAGGCTCTGGGTTGGGATCGAGGGGCAGCAGCAAAGCTGGTGTGTGTGTGCAGAGCCCAGGGTGGGATAGTTGGGAGCTCAGGTGTCGGGACTGAGATTCTCTCTTGTCCATGGGATGAGCTGTAAGGGGGGGAAGCCCTGAAGCCCCAGGGAATTTCATGGGGCCGGGGCCTGGCGAATTCCCCTGTCCCCGGGATTTGCACCCTTCAGAAGGTGGCCCTGTCCCTCTCTGGATTGGGCAGCAGCCACATGAGACCGCTAGCCCTGGCCTGTCTCCTCCCTCCCCAGCCAAGCGGCTCCTATTGTTAGTCAGCCCAGCCAAGGGAAATCTGGCCCTGCTGGGCTCCATGCCCTGGGCTCTGGCCTCCCTGCATAGCCGGAGCAGAGAGCAGAGCGGTGGGCTCTGTGTAGGGCCAGCAGCCAGTCTGCAAGCTGCTAGTGTGGCTGGAGCTGACCCCGGACTAAGGCCCCCAAACCACAGTGACTTGAGCTGGGGGGAGCCTCCTGTCATCTCCCCTCCCCATCTGCTGCCTGGGCCCAGGGACCTGGCAGCACAGCCCCATCCTGGCGCCATGACACCCAGCCCCCATTCCAGCACCGCCGGCCCGGCACTCCCATCTAGTCTCACTGTGCCCCCGGCTGCAGGGGCAGGACTAGAGGAGCCGGGTCTCCTCCACAGCAAATGCTCGCAGTCTGGCTGGTCCCTGCCGTGCGCACCCCAACAGAGCCCGACAGGCTTTTTCTGCCCCTGGCGCTGTACGCAGCTGCTGTGCTCGGAGGCCTCTTGCTCCCAAAGTGCCCTGCACCTGCCTCCACCCAGAGCACCCCTCCCCCAGGACACTGGCCTTGTCTCCTCTCCCTGCCCTGGAGGGAGCATTGACCCTCCTGGTCAAGCCCACAGCTTCCTTCTGAGAGTGCGGCCGGTGAAGCTGGGGTGGGGGGGGCCAGGTTAGGTAGGGCATCAGCCCCAGGTCATGCCCACCCCTGGCCAGAAAGGCTGGGCAGCCTAGCAGTCAGCGCTCCCAGTGCGGGAGAGCCCAGATTCGCAGTAATCCCAGAAACGGGGGCAGCTCCTCTGGCCAGCCCAGCCCCCCAGGACCAGAGCTGGGGGGAAGAGCCAAGGACTGGGTCAGTGATGGCTGCAGAGCCAGAATTGAGGGGCAGTGGCAGAGCTGGGGGACAGAGTTTAAGGGCTGAGGTAGCAGGGGCTGTGGGGCTGGGACTGAGGGGTTGCAGAGCTGGGGGACAGCTGAAGGCTGGGACACTGTTGGAGCCCCCCAGGGCTGCCAGGACTAGGGATGTAAACTCCTGTTTAATTGTTTAACCAGTTAAGTGATTAAAAGGGGGGGGCTGGAGCAGGGGGGGCTGTTCCAGCCCAGAGGAGGGCGAGCGGAGGGGCCTTGATGGCCCCGTGTGGGGCTGCTGGAAGTGGGCTGGGAGCCAGGAGTCCTGCCATGGGGCCCAGTGGGGCTGGAGCAAGCGTCTGCTGGAGGGGGGCTGCTCCTGGGTAGCAGTTAACTATTACCCAGTACGCAGCATCTATTAAGCTGAACTGGTTACCTAGTCTGGACAGGCCTTCGCTGGGGGGTGCTGGCCCCTCCCAGTTTGGATAGTTCTTGTGCCCCCCATCTTCCCCCAACTCGTGTTTCCTCATCACTTCCTGTCCCATAGGACCCTCTGCCGTCATGGCGCCCCATTAAACATCCCCTGCGCCCCACTCCAGAGGCAGCTGCGGCT